TTCTTCTTAATTTTTAAGGCATGAAAACACTGATATGCTGTATAAAAATTATGAATATTAATTCTTTTTAAAAATTAGTTTTCCTTAGGAGTACTCTGAAAAATATATAAGCTGAATGGTTGTGCCCAATGAGTGATCCAAATGGAAACAGACTGTACTCTTAGATGGACAATTAAGTTAGCTTTTTCTTGTAAAGCAAAGTTTCCAAATTTTAACTGTTTTTAAACTAACAAATGAGAGAAAGTATGGAATAATAAAATGAACAAATAAAAACAACTCAGAAATAGAATATGATAAAATAGGTCATTTTAAATCAAGGAGAAAAGATGATTACTCATTTAATGGTGCAAAAACAGCTAGAAAGCCATTTGGAAAAAAGTATACCCTGTTCCTTATGTCAAAATCAATTCTGTTTGATCAAAGATTTTAACAGAGAAAGTCACAGTAATAAAAGATAATAAAAAATCTTTGATTTTTCTTTCTTTGAGTGTGGACTGGACTTAATAACTAGTTTCAAACAAGTGTTAAACGAGAAAAAAATATTAACTGCACGGTAGAGAAATATGGCAGACAACATTTTAACCCAGCAATCAATTTTTTTCTTTTTGGGGTACTGGGCTTAACTCAGGGCCTTTATCTTGAGCCACTTCACCAGGCTGAGTAGCTAGGATACAGGTGTGAGCCACTGGTGCCTGGCTCAACTTAATTTTTGGTGGTACTGGGGTTTAAACTCAGGGCCTTGAGTTTGCTGGGCAATACTCTACCACTTGAGCCACACCCACAGCCTGTGATCAATGTTAAATGTCATGGGCAAGGCATACTGATATCACATACTTCCTGAAAAGGGTTTTTCACCTCTATAGGATACATACTCAAAAATCTTTAAACCTCAATCTAATCAAGAGAAATCATCAGACAAACTTAGCTGGAGAGTCATTCTACAAAATGCCTGGCAAGTACACATAAAAAGTGTCAAGGTCATGAAGACAAGAAAAGAGAGGAACTATCGAATTGAAATAGACTAAGGAGACATGCCAAGTGAAAGCAGTGTGGTCTCCTGGACTGGATCCTAGAGTAGAAAAAGGCATCTGAACAGCCTACAGTGTAACTATCAGCATTTCACCAATGTTGACTTATTAGTTTTGATAATTATATTATGTCTATGTAAGATGTTAAGCTTGGGAAGGATATATGGGAACTCCAACTTTCCTGAAAGTCTACAATTATTTCAAAATAAAAAGTTAAAAAAAAGATTATGGGGATATAAAAATTAACTCAAAAAAGAGATCCAAGATTAAAATATAAGAATTGAAACTATAAAACTCTTAGAAAAATCTGTGGATATAAATCTTTGTGATCTTGGGTTAAGCAATAGTTTCTTTGATATGACAACCAAGATCACAAGCAACAAAATAGTTAAACTGCACTTCATTAAAATGAAAACACTTTGTGCTTCTATATAAAGAAATTGTATATCTAATAAAAAGACAATCCAATTAAAAAGTGGGCAAAGGATCTGAATAGACATTTTTCCAAAGAAGCACATGAAAAATTCTCAACATTATGAGCTATATGAAATACAGATCAAAACCACAAGATACTACTTTACATCCACTAGGATGGCTATAATCAAGAAAAAAGATTATGAGAAGTGTTTGCATGGATGTGGAAAATTGGGACCCTCATTCACTACTCCAGGGAACATAATATGGTACAGCCTTTTTGGGAAAAGTTTGCAGTTTCTTAAAAGGTCAAACAGAGTTTTAAAGATAAATGAAAACATATGTCCACACAAAAATTTGTATAGTAATATATATCACTGAATTACTATTAACAGTCATAAAATGGAAGCAACTCAAATGTAAATCAGTGAATAGTCATACATCCATACAACAGAATACATTCAGCAGTAAAAAGAAATTACTGATAGTTTATTGCTATAACGAAAGAAGCCAGTCCCAAAAAAGACAAAAGTAGTTTACTTGGTGTGTGAAATCATTAATAACAATGAAATTCTAAGCAAATTAGTTAACTCCCCCTAACCCATCAGCTATAAAGTTTGCAGTCAATTTTCGTCTTGAAAACACTGTAATGATCTTATATTAAGTATGCCTGTTACAACATGTTTATTAACTGGACAAGGGTCTTAGTAGCAATTTAAACTGAAAATTTCTGTTTAATTTTTGGCATAATAACAATGAGGCCTTTTCTAACTTTCAAGCTGTCTCTTATTATGAAGTATCTATCTGCAAATGACAAATGAACAAACTTCTAAAAATGAACTGTAAAAAGTAAATAGTAAAGATGAAGAATTACACATATTGGATTGTGTAAGTTATTCTTTCATAGGCATACTGAATGAATTTTCTATTTTAATACTATATCTTATCCTTCATAACTTTCTGCGATACATGAAGTAGCTGTAAGCCCCATTTATTGCAGACAAATGGAAATTCAGCTATTCCCTAGCCAAACTTGGTTTGAATCTCAGACATTCTGCCAATCGCTGAGACTACTGATTTGAAGTTCTCTCTGAAGTTATGGAACCTGAGGCTGTGGTAAGATTAAGTTCTTTTTCCAACTAAGTGAAGAAACGTGTTTTAACAAAAACCAGCCTGTCGTAGACTACTTTTTATTCTTTTAACACTCAATCATATGATTAACATTTGGATGATTTTTCTTTGTAATAAATTAGTTTCTAAAAAGTAAAAACTGGTCTGGAGGTATAGTTCAAGTGGTAGAGCACCTGACACCTACCTAGCCAGTGGGAGGCCCTGATTTCAAACACTGGTACTGCCAAAAAAAAAAAGTAAAGGAAAAACATGGCATCTGACAATCAGTAATTAAAAATTATAATGGACACACGGGAGTAGCTGAACTCGAATCTTTTAAGTACTATAAAGCTATTTCTGATAATCTATAAAAAATGTCGAAAACTAATTTTTTTCTTTTTAAAAAATTATTGTTGTATGGGGGTACACTGTGACATTTACCTAATTTTTACAATATATCATAGTTGAATTCACCCACTCCTTCATTCTCCTTTATCCTCTCTATCCCCATTCCTGGAATAGTGGAAACTAATTTTCTAATACTAAAAAGTACAGTAGTGGGAATGCCTTAAACAACTATCCTAAATCTTGAAAAAAAAAAAAAGTTCATAAGATAATACATACAGATACCAACACAGTTCCAGAGCTTAAATATGGTGTTACGATCATCTAAAAGAATACTTATTACATGATACATTGTAGTTTAGTATACAGAAGTTACCATTTACTTTTGAAAACTAGTGACAAATTTTAATTCTATTACTTGTAAGATTACTTCTTTGCTTGAGAATATTTGTAAGTCTTGAAATTCCTCCAGGGAATTAAAAAAAAGAAAGTCACAATCTTTATTCCTTTTCTGAAAACAAATCTGGTACTTCACTTTACAGATTTGAACGTTAAGGGACCGTGGCTAAATCCCAGTAGAGAAACGAAATCACAAAGTCCAGTGAACTCACACTACCGCCCTCTCAACCACATGGAGCACATTTGTGCTCACCTCTTTGCTGCCAGTAGTGCTTGCAATAAACTAGGAAAATAGCAGTTAATTAGCATCCAAAGAAAAGAGAAACAAGGGCTTAAGGCTGCATCTAAAGCAAGCTGTAGAGTAGCATCTGACTACAATGATGCCTCCTCCAAAACGATGCATACTATACATTGGTGTGTAACAGATATATGAGTAACAGAAACGTTGGCCAAATTTAAAAGTCTACTTTCATGAACTTAATATAAGAACATCCTTGAATTTGCACTATATACTTATTTAAGGATTCCATAACCTAAACTTCAGTAAAGATTTAAAAAAATAAGCCAGTTATGACAGAATCCAAGATTCTCTACACTTTTGTTTGAAATAAAAACATTTTTTAAAGTAAAACTTAAAAGAAAAAAACCATTCAACTGCTTCAAAAAGCACCTGAAACACAAGCCTCTAGAATTAATTTAGGACAGTGCAGAAAAAATTCCTAGCTCCAGATATAATCTGGCGACATAGGCATCACACGAATGTTAATCATGACAGATCAGAAAACCAGACTAGGAGGGCTGCAAAAGTCAGGTCAGGACCCAGGAAAAACAACATGTAAATATTATTTTTTTCATCTTCCAACAGAAAACATCTGAGCCTTGGGATAAGGGTTAGGACCAGGATTTGAGAAGACTAAATTCTGGGCTCCCAGAACTGGGCCGTGTCGACAAGTTTCCTTTGCCCACGACCCTTAACCCAGTTAACTCTTCCAGTTGGGGCAACTTCAAAGGGAGGATACCAGGATCCACCGCAAGCGCAAATGGCAATGACCTTTGCCCTAGTTTAGGCTGAGAAAACAGAGCAGAACCGGGTAGAGGTGCCTGCAGTGCTCAGGTGTGGCCCAGTCCCCACCTGAGTTGTGCTTAACTTCTCCACCTTGTGCACTTGTGCCCACCCGAGTCCCCTCTCACCCGGGCAGGACAGCTTGGCTAGCGCCACCAACATGTTCGCGGTAACTCGGACAGCGGGTCTGACACTCGGAAGGAGGCCTGTCTGCGGGTCGCCGCGGGCGCTGGACTTCTATGCCTCGGGGGGCGCCATCACCTGCCGGGAATCGCCGACTGCTTCACTCAAGTTCGCTTGTCAGCCTACCACCCTGGTTTCGCAGCGTTCCCGCCTCCCTCTCGCTCTGCGCCGGCGCCACACTTGCGACGGAGGTTTCCGGGTCACGTGCAGGAAAAAGACCAGGGACTCCAAGTCCCAGGGCTCCCCGCAGCAGCATTTCCTACATGAGGAAGCCGCGTAGCCATGGGCGGGGCGCGTAAGTTCACACGCGCGCGTGCGCGCGCACGCGTAGTGAAGTGTAAAGGAGGCGGAGAGAAGCGCACGGCATCTTGGGAGCTGTAGTGTTCTGCTCTGGCGTCCTCAGAACCTCCTGATGTGACTTCATTGACATCTGATTGGCTATCTCGAAAAATGAAAAGTCTTTGTGTTCCTGGTCAGGGATCCACTAGGAGACTAGGCAGGACTAAGGGCGAGAGAAGGCGGAGCCTTTGGGCTTTGGGCGCGAGGAGTTGAAAGACGGTCGGTGTCGGTTCGGCCGGTAGGGTCCGATTCCGCTGTCCCAGCCGTTCCCCATGGCTGCCTCGGAGGCGTTTCGGGCTTCGCCTCCTGTGCCTCCTCCCGCCTCTCGCTCGTCTTCAGGCGCCTCTTCAGCATCTTCCCCCGGCGCGAGTTTGGGCCGGCCGGTTCCGAGCTGGAGCCGCGGCGGAGCGCTGGACCCGCTGGAGGAAGTGGAGCTGCAGATCGGGGACGTGAGTGTCTGGCCGCTCGGTCGGGGCAGGTGGGGCGGTGCCGCCGCGAGGGTCCCGCGGGAGGCCCAGCCTTGAGCGCCCCCGCTCGCCCGCAGTGTCCCCGCGCCCCGCGCTGTGCGGAGCCCGCCCGCCGCGCCCCTGCGGTCCCGGCGCGGGGCCGCGCGCCCTGCAGATGCAGACCTGGAACCCAGCGCCGGTAGCCATCGCGCCGCAGGGGTTGCTAAAGGCTCATCCGCCTTTGTGTTGGCAGAGCAAGACTGGCTGCACGCGAGCAGGCAGAACGGAATAGTGATGTGTTCTGCAGGATCGTGTCAGCGAGGGTCTCCGATGAAGAAGACACTTGTTAGAGTGAGCGCTCCATCCGGAGGGGCATAGTTCCCGCATTCGAACGTGATTTTGTTGGCGTTATTTATCGGAACTCAGAGTGTCAGTTCTCCGATCGTTACATTTTTATGGTCTCAAGTGCTCTCAGTTAAAAATGGAACGATGCCCAGGTTACCCAAATACCAGTAAGAACTGTGTCTGGTGAAGACCGTTAGGTACTTCTGGAACTTGGCGTCAGGGGGTCCATGTCGTCTTGTTGAGCTAAATGACACTGCAGTGTGTTTTTCAGTTGAACAGAAATACTGACTTGTCACGTCTCGTACGTAAGGAGTAGTTTTCTGGCAGATACTCCCTCAAAGCTCACACAGTATTAAGAGTTTCCGGGGTCGGGGCTGGGGGCGTAGCTCACTGGCAGAGCATGCGCTTAGTATCCTGGAGACACTGGGTTCCAGAGTTTCTTAAGTTCCCTGAAAGAGCCTGTGTTCAGTTTGAAAATATATTATTTTTAAAGGAAAACTTTTGGACATCAGATTCAGAGTTTTAAGCTATTTTTAGACTACCAAATGAGATGAGAATTTTCAAAATAAACATCTGGGACTTGGGGTGTAGTTCAGTGATAGAGCTCTTCCTAGGGTTTAGTCTCCAGCACCACAAAGGAAACCATCTGTTTGCCTTTTTTTTTTTTTTTTTTAATTTCAGGCAGCATTTTCGTTAACCAAACTTCTTGAGGCGACATCTGCAGTATCAGCTCAAGTGGAAGAGCTTGCCCTCAAATGTACAGAAAACGCACGCTTCCTCAAAACATGGAGGGACCTCTTGAAAGAAGGCTATGACTCTTTGAAACCTGACAACTGATTGGAGTAATGACTGTAATAATTCATACTTCCACACACCTGTGCTGCAGATACAAGATGATCTCCTTCCAGTAGTTCTGTGTACTCAGGGTGAAGTGTTTCTTAGGTTCCTTGACTTTTGTGAAGTACTGATGTAAGTTTTTGATGTTGACCAGTTATTTGTTCATCCTGAAATATTTTCTGCCCTCTCAATTTTTGTAAAATCCTTTATGGAACTGAATTCTGTCAGTAGGTGATTTTTTTAAATAGTGCCACCAGATAAATGGTTTTGTAAGAAGATGCCAAGAATGGTGAAGTGTGAGGTGAACTTCATTTATGGTCCAAAGGAGGTGACAGAGGTTGCTAGTGGTAGAGCCAGCTGTCTTATGCTAATTTCTCTGACACCAATGATCGTGTTTCACTTCTTTATCCTCAGGACCTTGTAAAAATGTCACATGAACTCACAAAATGTTTGTTGAAGACTTCACAAACAAAATTAAAAGCCATTTTCTTCCTATTTTTTTAGCATCAGGACAGTAATTCTCAAAAAAAAAGTATGAATCTAAATTTCATTGACTTGAAGGAAAAACACTCTCTTTTTTTGTGGGGATTTGAATATTTTTCCCATTTTGAGACAGGGTCTCACTATTAGCCCAAGCTAACTCAAACTCCAGGTCCTTCTACCCCAGACTCCATAGTGCTGGGATTACAGGTATGTCCTATCACACCCAGCATGGGGATTTCAATTTTGATGGTAGCTTTAAAAAAATATGTTTTCTTATTGTATGATGCTTTTTTTTTAAACCAGAAATCTTTTACTGTCTACAATCCTTTTAAAAAAAGCCTTTAACTTCAGAAAATGAATACCTGTCTAGAAAGAATGCACGTTGTTCCTCCCCAACTTATTTGTATGGTTAATTGCTTTTGCAGTCAATATTTCTTATATTTGGTATTTTATGTGTGTGATTGCTGTCTTTAAAATGCCTTATCATATTATGCTTTGTCCTGTTACTTTTGGAGGTTTGCAAGTTATTTACCTAACAATTCTGAAGTTACTTTTCTAATGCATCAAAGTTAAGTGATACAGTGTTTTCATATTGTTTGACCTGAGTGGCAATGTTTTATTTTATCTGTACTGTATGTTATATTGCTTTTTGGTGGTTTGTGTGAAGCCACTTCATTCTGTGTAAAGAACTGTATTCTAAAAGCTCCACAATGGAGTCTATGTTTGGGGACAAATGGATGGGAGAAGGATAGTTTTGTTTAGTGTGTTAATTCATAGTTCTTGATATATGTATATTTTTATTTAAGATCACACATATGTTATAATTTCTATACCAAAGATGCTTACTTTGTATGAGAAAAGTATTTTTCTTATGTATTCTGAAAGTCGCAGTTTTTAAAATGTGTAAAAATAAACTGTTACTAGAAACAAATGTTATTTTCATTTCTTTGGGTTCATTATTTTAAACGTTTTTATTGACATATTTCAAACATACAGGACAGGGGAATGATTTAAAGAGCACCAATGTAGTCTTACTATGCAGAGTTAATAAAGGTTTGTATTCAATTATGTTTTTCAGACCTATTTGTATATATTTATGTATTTAACTGTAGATGTGAGCTACATTGGAAGCTTACTTTATTACTTCTTTGATCTCATCCCCTTCCTTCCTTCTGAGAGCCACTGCCTTAGAAGTGGTATACATTGTAGTTTGTGGCTTTTTCTCCCCCATTATGAGGATTGAGCCCAGGGCCTTTGCTTGCTCTACCACTGAGCCCCATCCCAGCCCCATTGTTTGTGTTTTTATGTTGTTAATATAGATGTATATTTACAAAGTACTACAAAATACTATCTTATATATCTGTTAGGCAGCCTCTGGGTGGGCCTGTGGTCTCCCAGATCCCATCTTCACGCCCTTCGTGCCTTCTCCTACCCTGAATAGTGCTATGTCACGAAACCACTGGGACATGAGGAAAGGCAGTGTTGATTTCTGGTGCCTTATCTTTTAACATTTTTCTATTTTTGTTTTTTCCTTGTCAGTGTGTGGATACTACATGTTTTGGATACTAATGATCTGTTATGTATATTGCAGCCATCTTTTGTAGTCTGGTTTGTCTTTGTGTTTGATTATAGAATCTCCTTGAATAAAGGTTTTTATTTTCCATGTGCTTTTACCAGTCTTTCCTAATGGTTCTTCCTGGGTTTTGTATAGGAAATGTCATAAAGATACTATCCTATTTGTCCAAAGGATTTAAAATTTCGTTCTTAAGATTTAGGTGTTTAATCCAACTGAAACTGGGTTTTTGTTTGTATGTATATAGTTATTTTTCCAAGTACCATGTCCCCAAAGGTCCATTTGTCACTCATGGATCTTCTGAGGCCAGGTTCTGAGCTCTCTGTTCTGTTGTTTGGATCTACTTGCTTAATCCCATGTTAAGATTCCCTGTAAGCTTTCCTGATTTAGCTGTATCTTACCTGTGATCTGTAGTACGTGTGTGTGTGTGTGTGTGTGTGTGTGTGTGTGTATCTCCAGAGTATGACATTTTTCAAGTTAAAAAAGAGAATTTCCTGGCTTCCAGTTCTGTTGAGTACAGTTGTCTTAGGTCCCCTGGTTTCAGAGTGAGCCTTCTGTGGGCACTTATCCTCTGCACTAAAACTTCCCAGCCATCAATGTCTGGGATCCAGTAGGCCCACAGCTCTGCACTGCTCATGTTTGCACTGAAATGGTTAAAAGACAGCCAGAGGGGAGCCATTAGGCAGGTGCCATGTTAGCTTCAAAGCTGAAGGAGGTTCATGAGGGGGTCTGGTTCCCATAAAATTGGAAGAACAGAAGGAACCAAACTAGGATACGGTCAAATGATTGTGTGGATTGTGTTGATTGTGTTCACTCATGTTTATAGATAGCAGCTATTGTCTCGCTTCTGTACCTAGGCTAGCTTGCTTTGCAAAGATTGCCAGACAGGATGTAGTTTTTGCCTTATAAACCTTGCAAAAGGTTAGAGAGGGCTGCTCTGAGTACCAGTGACCTGTTGGTCAGAGCAGTTGCCAGCTGGCTAATAAAGACTCTCCTTTAAAATCTTTCTTGGGTGGTCTTATCGCATTCGACTGGTAACATTTGGAGGCCCCAGTGAGATACTTTTAACAACCCCCAGAGACACTGGTAGAGACTTGATCTCTTGGTATTCCATGGAGCCCGATGGGGTGGAGGCCTTGGGGGTGGCCGCTGAGAGACGTTCCTCAGCCCCAGGACATACCTCCTTAACCTCATGGGCAACAAATGGAGTCGGGAGGCATCAATCCTCACAGGGAGAGTCATCTGGTAAGGAAAACCTCCGGAGGTGAGGGAGGTTCAGGGGAAGGCTGGACGCAGCATTACTTCCTGAATCCTGGGTGGTGGTGAGACATCGCCCCTGGTCTGTCTGGTCTAGTTCTGTGTGGCCACAAGTCATTGTCTTTGTTCTGTGCATCTGTTTTGTCGTTTTTAGACCACCCCAGGTGACCGGAGGACAATTGGAACTGCAACATGGGACAATCTTCGTCTATCTCCAGTCCTTTGCAATGTATGCTAAGTTTCCTTCTTTCCAACAGAAGGCTTTAGACCTGGGAGCCTCTTGTGATGCCTTTACACTGAGAAAACTCTGTGAATTCGATTGGCCTTTATTTGATGTGGGATGGCCTGCTGAGGGACCTTTGATTTGCATACAGCCTATGGGGTCATCACCGGACGGCCCAGCCACCCAGGCCAGATTCCTTACATTCTGACCTGCTTGAAGTCTTATCTGAAAAGCCTTCCTGGCTACAAAAGTGCATAAAAGGAGGCATAGGCTGCTCCAAGTTTCTCCTATCCACTAAGCCCCGCAAACCATCGTCATCTGCACGTCCGGAAGGTAAAAAGGCTTGTCCTCTATAAATGACTTTTAGATACACATTTTTCAGCTATCTCATTCTGACTCGTAACAGCACTGCCATGTGTGGCACACAGAGTTGTTGTTATTTTAGGAGATGGAATCTCTCTTTGTTGCCCAGGCTGTTCTGAGCTGCTGGGCATCCTCCAGCCTTAGCATCATAGTAGCTGGAACTACAGGTGCACATCACCATGTCCTGCTGTGCATCTTAAGACTGGCTTTTAAGTATGATTGAGCAAGTAGTCCATCACCAGCTCTACACAAACTCAAGAGGAAACTTTAATATTCTGTTGATGTGAACTTTGAAAACCCTCAAGACCAAAGTAAAAAAGATGAAAATTTTAACATCCAAAAGAATGTGTTCAACTTCAAAAGTGAAACGTGTATGAAGTGTGTCAGGCACCATGGTAGAAGCATTTTAAATGTTATTTCATGTAAACTTATGGCACCTCAAGGAAAGTGACATTATTTAAAGAATAAGAGATGAAGGCTAAAATAATTTTTTTTTTTTGTGGTACTGGGGCTTGAACTCAGGGCCTACACCTGAGCCACACCACCACCCCTTTTCTGTGAAGGGTATTTTTCAAGATAGGATCTCATGAACTACTTGCCCAGGCTGGATTTGAACCTTGATCCTTCTGATGTTTGCCTCCTGAGTAGCTAGGATTTTTATATGTAAACTTGACTGGGCCACAGGGTTCCCAGATATTTGGTCCAACATTAATTCTGGGTTTTTCAGTGAATGCTTTTGAATGAAATTAATTTTTTTACTCCTCCAGTACTAAAGATTGAGGCCAGAACCTCACACATGCTAGGCACGCATTCTATACTTGACATGGGGTCTGCTAACTTTGGGCTGGCCTCAAACTAGAGATCCTTCTGTTTCTACCTCCCAGGTAGCTGAGATAATGAATATGCACCACCATGCCCTGCTGGGCGAGAGTGACTTTTAAAGCCATAGAATGAGTAAAGCAGCTTGCTTTGTGTAATGTAGACAGCCCTCATCTAATTAGTTGAAGGCTGAATAGAATAAAAGGTTAGCTATCTACCTGACAATCTTTGCCCTGGGACATTGGCTCTTCCTGTTTTTACAGCAACCTGCCAGCCTGAACAGAATCTGGGACATCAGCTCTGCAGAAATTTTAGGTTTCCAGCCTTTATAATCACAGGAATCAATACTGTATAATTTTTCATGTGTGCGTGTGTCTGTACATGCATAGGTATATATGTGTATACACACATGTCCTTGGAGAACTGCTAGTATCTGTATAACATTCAGATTTTTTCCTTTGGGATTATTTTTTTTCTGAGAACTCTAAAAACCTGTAATGATTAGGATCAAATTAGAACTGAAGATACAGAGATGTGTTAGAAGGTTATTACAAATATCCCAATGAAATGTGAAGGTCCAAAGTGTAAGGTACTGAGAATTGGGATGAGGGAGTGTATGCATTATGAAATGTTCATGAGGCAGAATCGAGGGAGGATTGGTGACTTGATGTGGGCAAAAAGGAGAGGAAGGGAGTTTCCTGGGATGACCCAGATTTGTAGCTTGGCACATTGGGCCAAGCCATTCACTAGAACAGAATAGAGGAGGAGAAAGAGGCCTCAGACTCCAGAACTGTACATAAGAATGGCAGTAGGCTGGGTGCCAGTGGCTCACGCCTGTAATCTTGCTACTCAGGAGGCAGAGGTCAGGAGGATCGCGGTTCGAAGGCAGCCCGGGCAATAGTTCACAAGAAAAAACCCATCCCAAAAAAGAGCTGGTGGAGTGGCTCAAGGTGTAGGCCCTGAGTTCAAACCCAGTACATAAGAATGATATTATTAAAAAGCCTGTGAGATAACCCAGTGGAAATAGCTAGTGGGCAATGTCTAATCCTAAAAAAAGAGTAGGTTAAAGGCAAAAATGTGGCACTCAGCAGGTACATAGTAAGCAAAGCCATGGAAGTGGCCTTAGTTTGTAGATAAGACAAAGGCTGAAAACAACGAGAATGAAGGAGGCGGGCAGTGGCAGATTTTCTCAAAAGGAGGATCATCTTTGTAAAAAATAATTTGGTTTTTTTTTTTTTTTTTTGGAACTGTGGATTGAACCCCAGGGCCTTGTGCATGCTAGGCAAATGCCCCACCACTGAATTATATCTCCAGCTCCCAAAATTACATTTTCAATAGAGAAAACCTTGACACAAGTATGTGATTTAATTTCATGCTTCTATTGCACTTTCTATGGAAGCTACGGGCTAGTTATGTGGTTTATGATTACTTAGCAAGCTGACTTAAATGGAATTTATTCTATCTGAGGAGCTGGAAGGCTGAAGAGTGGGTGGATTGAGTAGATAGGAAGCCAAAAGGCCTCCAGAAAATCATTGAAAATATTTTAAATGTTAAAGAAGTTTTAAATGTATAGTTTGTAAATTCATTGCATATATTTTTTTAAATGGCACTGGGGATTGAACTCAGAGCCTCACAAATGCTAGGCAAGAACTCTGCAACTTGAGCTGTGCCCCAGTCCCCTTCCTCTTTTTTTTGACATAGGGTTGCTGTAACTTTGTGGGGGCTGACACTCCTGCCTCAGTTTCCCAAATAGCTAGTATTATAGGCATGAACCACCATACCCAGCCATTTCATTTAATTTCTAAGAACTTTAAACAGGTTAGGATCATGATTTTTGTAGAATTATTTTTCTACTATTCTAGGAATGAGGTAAGGGGAGATAAAGGAGAATGATGGAGAAGGTGAATTCAACTATGCTATATTGTAAGAACTTTTGTAAATGTCACAATGTACCCCTAGCAGAACAACAAAAAATAATTTTTCTATCCTCTTTTCATGGTTATTATCATTATTCTTTTACCAAGGATTTATTTTAGTATAACAGTGTAAAGTATGGACAAACAGGGTGGGATAGAGAGAGAGAGAGAGAGAGAGAGAGAGAGAGAGAGAGAGAGAGAAACATCTCTTCCCCATGCAGGAAATGGGAGCAAAGACTCCATGACAATTGGTTTTATTCTTTTTAGAAAAATGTTCTGCTATTCTATTATTTATATTAGTAATAAAACTTCTAAATAAATCATCCTAAAATCTTATGGAAGACTTTAAATGTGTTCATCTTGGAAAGTGTATTATTTATTTTTTGTAGAGTATGTCATTATTTCCTAGGTGAGGTTTTTTTCCGTGCTGGGATGGAATCCAGGCCTGTGCACGTCAGGCAAGCGCTGTGCCTCTAGGCTGCAGCCCCGACTCTGCTCATGTTTATTGTAATTAAAACGTGCAGCTTTTATGCTCTTATTCTTGTTGAAAGTGTAGAGAACTTACTGGGATCCTCCCACATAAAGAGCAAAAGGAAGGCAAAGCTATTTATGCTTTTTTTTTTTTGGCATCACTGGGGTTTTGAACTCGGGGCCTCACACTTGGTAGGCAGGTGCTTTACCACTTCAGCCATTCTGCCAGCCCTCCATGTTTTTAGTAGAACTAAATTTCAGGTAATTTATTTAATAACAATCTATACCATTATATATTCCATAAATGCGTTATATTGTTGATTCCAGTGTTTTCATGTTTCAAATAGTTTTGCTTTTTTAAGACTACCTGAGAACATTTTTTTCTCACTTAAAAGCTTCAAATGATCTCAGTTAAGGTCTTCCAATATCTCAGTTGAGACCAGAGAACTAATTACGGTTATATATGATGAACTGGCTGTGCAGACGGGAAGCAAAGCCATCATTGGATGACAGATGCTTTCTCTTCTCTGAAGTTAAGTTCCTGAACCAATGCCTTCTAGTGCTTCTTCCTTTTAACTGCACTGTTGAGATCAGGTCACATGCCATATAATTCACCCATGTGAAGTATCAAGTCAGTGGCTTTTAGTATAACTGCATAGTCATTTATCCAGCCCACAAACAATTTTGAGCATTTTTTTCAACTGGAAAGATACCCTGCACTTTCTAGTCATCACCCTCTCAACCCCATCCCTACCCCTACCTATCTGTAATCATTTCTGTCTCTACTAATTTGCTAATTCAGATATGTCCTCTAAGTGAAATCATACTGTATTCTTTCATGTCTGCTTCTGTTAACATTTTTCATGTGGTAGCATGTGTGAACATCATTTCTTTTAAAGCATTTCATTTTGTGTCTGTGTACCACATTCTGTTTGTCCTTTCTTCAGTCAATGATCACTTGGGTTGTTTCCATCTTTTGGCTATTATGAATAATGCTGCCTCGAGCATTTGCATAAAAATATCTGTTTGAGTCCTGTTCTCAATTCTTTTGGGTTTTTATCTGGTAATTAAATTGCTAGGTCATATAATAGTTTTTACTTTTAATTTTTCTAAGAACTACCAAACTTTTCCACAGTGGTCACACCATTTACTTTCCCACTAGCAATGTACAGGATTTCAGTTTCTATCCTCTCCAACATTCATTCATTGATGGATAACCATCCCTTCAAGGTCAGTATGATGTGTTTTCCTCGTTGTGATTTTAACTGTGTCTCCCCAGCAATAGTGATGTTGAACATCTTCTCATGTGCTGATTGGCCATTCGTGTATCTTATATGTTTATTAAGGTCCTTTGTCTATTTAAAAATTTTCTGTTGTTGAGTTATAAGAGCGCTTTTCAGATATATAGTTTGCGATACTTTCTTTTATCCTGGTAGGTTGTCTTTTTTGCTTTCTTGATAATCTCCTTTGATACAAAAATGTGTTTAGATGAAATCCAATTTATTTTTCATTTGATGATCATGCTTTTGTTGTCATAGCTAAGAATTCATTGCAGAATCTCAATTCTGTTCCATTGATCTTTGTTTTAAGCTCTTATAACTAGGTTGTTGATTCATTTTGAGTTAATTTTTGAATATTATGTAACATGTGGCTCCAACTTTATTCTTTTGATTGCTATTATCTGGCTGTTCCAGCATCTTTTGTTGAAAAGACTGCTCTTTCTTCATTTGATTGTCTTGGTACGCTTGTTAAAAATCAATTGACTGGCCTGGCCTGGTGGTGCACACCTGTATTCCCAGCACTAAGGAGGCTGAGTAAGGAGGATTGTGAGTTCCAGGCCAGCCTGGGCTACCTAAGGAAACCATCTCAACAAATGAACAAACAAAAATTTCAATTGACTGAAAGTATAAGGGTTTATTTCTTGACTCATTCTATTTCATTGATCCAGTGGTTCCCCATTCTCCCTTTTCAGCTCAGTCCTTTGCAGCTATCCTGCTCTCCTAATCCAGCCCTGACACCACTCAATTAAGGCAAAGCAAAAAGAAACACTGGGTAGGAAGTGACAGAGAAGTACTGTTTTTAGATTTATGCAAAACATTGTGCATTCCTATTAATAGTACGTTGTATTTTCTCTCAGTGTGTGAAGACTGGAAGAGAGATAAAGATTCTTCTTTTTTTTCTTTTATTCATATATGCATACAATGTTTGGGTCATTTCTCCCCCCTTTCTCCTGCCCCCTAGAACTAAGGATTCTTAAAACAGAATATTTATATTTTACAAACAATCAGACATTTTATCTGATGCTATTACAGAGTATTCTAAAACCTCAGACCTTAATTTTAGAATACCTATGATTCTTATCATAATGATGAAGACAGATGATGCTCTAACCTCGGGGCTGTGTGTGGGCTTTGTAGAGTCGTGTATTACAGAGTGAAAAGGTTCTATGTGCTGCAGTCTGCCATGATGGTATGTGCGGGGTGGGACTTAATAAACACGTGTTAGAAGAGTGAATTAATCTCTCTGCAGTGGATCACTCTTCATTTCCTGTGTAGAATTTATACTAATATATGCACATTATCAATAGAATTACTTCTCTGCCTCTGGGAATTGGTCACTTGTATTTTTCCTCACGTTGCTGTAAACTAACTTGTCTTAGGTATTATTATAAATTAAATTTTATGCCATTTATTTCCCACCAGTGAATCCCATCTGAAGCACCCCACCATATTCTCTGTGAAGAAATGAGTCTCAGAATTCGTTAGGAATCAGAATTGAGTCTAGTTGATTGGGAAATTAATGACACCTCACAAGGGTCTGTGAAAGCAGCTGGCTTCCTTAAGTCAGGTGGCATTTCCTGTGTTGGCCACATTTCCACCCAGATGAATGATGGAGCAGGAGCTTTCTGACTTCCTTTGCTGTCAATAGACCTTCTTTGTCTATAGTTGTACCAAATCTGATGGATCATTTCTTTGAATGGTCTTGTGGTCAGAGTATAGAGAATTGGGTTCAAAGCACTGTTGATAGGCAGAATAAAAATCACTACCCAAGAGGTAATAGTACCTGAAAAAGAAAAATGAAATAGTCTTGAGTGCTTATCACGCTTACAAGGTATAGACATCCCCTTCCTGCATCTTTCATCACACCTCCTTTCAGTGTCATGTTTTCCTGTAATGTTATATAAGTAAACACCAAGTCTACACTGCTTCCAGGATGCTGTTCCTGAGTACCAGTGTTTGAAGAGAGTGCAGTTCCCAAAGGAACAGGCTCTCTGTTAAGTAGCTTTTCCTGAATATATCAGCAAAAGTATGCATTAGGTAGAAATATTTTCCACAAAGTGATGACATAGTATTATGATTTTATTTTAGGAAAACCCATCTTGTTTAGTGTTTAAGTCATACCTTTCAAATGTTTTAAATACTAGATAATATATAAACTATTTATCAAAACATATAGTTGTATCTTTAATAGATTTCTTTTCTGCTCTTTATTTGATTTAAAAAATGGGGCTGTCTTTTTAGGCTTTTGGCCAAATGCTTATTTTAGTAAGAACATCTTTGGTTAAATCCATTTGAAAAATCATCTTAGTATATATGTAACTACCAAATACTCAGATTTTTGTTATAATTTAATCAAGGCTATTATCCCTGTTTTGTTGTTCATAACCTGTAAGATATTATCACCATCATCCATGGGGCTCATTCAAAATTAAAATTATGTATACATTTTAAAAACTTGAATATGTACTGTATTATAAATACAATTAACATGATACAATTTTTTGTGGTAAAATACACATAATATAAATTTAGTACTTGAACCATCTCTCTTTTTTTTTTTGACAGTCTCATTATGTAGTTCAGATTGGCCTGGAATTCATCATGTAGCCATTTTGGCCTTGACCTCACGATGATCCTCTTAGCTCAGGCTCCCAAATGCTGGGATTACAGGTGTGTACTACTACACTAGGTCTTTAACCACGTTTAAGTACATTTATATTGCTGTGCATCTATGACGACAATCCATCTCCAGAAGTTTTTCATCTTCCTAAACTGAACCCTCCCTATTAAACAATGACTCCCATTCTCCATGGCAACCACCATTCTATGTTCCGTCTATGAGTTTGGCTACTGCAGGAGCCTCATGTAAAGGAGTCATAAGACATTCGTCCTTTTGTTTATGGCCTGACTTGATATCGTGTTTTCAAGATTCATCGATATTCAACACATGTCAGGATTTCCTTCCTTGATAGAGCAGAATCATGATCCATTGTGAGTATTTACATTTTGTTTATCTGTCATCTACCTATGGATTCGCTATTGCTTCCACTTTTAGTGGTTATGAACAGTGCTGCTACAAACATGGGTGTACAAATACCTGTTTGAATCCCTGCTTGCTGTTCTTTTACCTATTCACTCAGAAGTGGCGTGCCTGGATTGTATGCTAATTCTAGGTCCAATTTTTCCCAGTCACTGCCATACTGTTCTGCACAGCAGCTGTGCCATTTCATATTCCCACCAGCAGTGCACAAGAATGTCCATTTCTCCAAATCCTGGCCAGCACTTACTGTGTGTATATGTGTGTTCTAAAGTAATAGCCACCATGATGGATGAGACATGCATTATTTTAAAACCCTAATCCTTCTGTTATCTCTCACACTTGAAGTCACATGTATTCCAGGGAGAAAAATTTTTTACATTATGAAAAAGAATAAATGAATTATTTGATAATTGTCTTGGCCTGTTTTCCTTTCTGGTCAGTTTAAGCATGCAATTAATTTCAGTACTGTGTGTCATATATTTTGGTCATTGTTTCTTTGTTCTGACAGTAATTGTGTTACTAGGAATTTATGGAACAGTGTTTTCTCAATAAACATTTTATTAATGACAGAGCCTAGAGTACACAGAATTCTGACTTATATTTATTTTTTTCTATTTCTTTTCATTTTTATTAAGTTATATTCGTTGTATAGAGGGAATTCATTGTGACAATTCTGAATTGTCATTTTTCATTACATTGTTCATTGGTTAGGTCACCCCCACCATCTCCCTGCCTCCATCCCATCCCCTCCTCACTTAAAGCAATTGCAAGAGTTTTTATTACTCTAGTTCATATATGCTTATGAAGTCCACCCACCACATTCCCTCACCTTCATCTCCTCCATTCACCCTCCCCTCCCACAAGTACCTCTCACACACTATACTTATTTTACACTGACTTGTAATTCTTGAAATTAGTGTTAAGAATGTTAATTGCCTTTCTTAAACACTGCACAAACAGATTTATTACTTCTTTACAGAAAAAAAAGAATTGTACCTGGTATTTCTACCTGAAGTAATGAAAGAAATTTCAATATGAAAATGGGTATCCAGCACAAAGCATCAGTAAATACAATAAAGAAAAACCTCTTGGCAAGAATCATCTCTTTTTTAACTTGGTTCCGTATTTCAGTTGCTGTTATGGTGCTTTGGTGGACACTGTAAAACATGCTTCCATAGGAAAAAATGATGATGATAAATGCTGCCAAGTTAATACCTGTTTAGAACACAAAGAATGTTCACAACATATATGAATATTCATTTAAAACAAGTAAAACATACCTTTAATGTTATTATTAGAGGTACAAGGACATAACATGTTTTTTTTTGCTTTTCAGAATTATTAAGCTGGTGTAGTAGCATACACCTGTAATCCTAGCACCCAGGAGGCGGAGGCAGGAGAATCTCCAGCCTGGGCTAAATAGTGAGTTGAAGGCCATCTTGAGGTACATGATGAGACCCTGCCTCAAAAAAAAAATTACTAAGGTGCATAAAAACAATGAATTCTTTGAATTGATAGATTATTAAAATAATGAACAATAATTAAATGCTTAATTTAAACATGGTATATTAAAATGAAATTATAGGAATTCAAGAAAAATACCCTAAGCTTTTCAAATGTTCTAGTATTAGTGATTTTTAAAAGTAATTACATTGTGGGGGCACTTTGAGATTATTTTCACATTGCATTGCTGACTTAGAACAGTTGTGTGTATACATTTTTTTTTTCAACATTGGTGTTTGAAATCAGGGCTTTGCACTTGCTAGGCAGATGCTCTGCTTGAGCTCCAGCCCCAGCATTTTTTTTCTGGTTATTTTTGACATAGGTTCTTGCTTTTTGCCCAGGCCAGCCTAGAAGGCAATCCTCTGTAGCTGGGATGACTGGCAGGTGCCACCATGCCCAGTTTTTTTCCACTGAGATGGGGACTTGGGCTGGCTTGGAACCATGATCCTCTTGATCTCAGCCTCCCAAGTAGCTAGGATTACAGAGGTGAACCATCGACGCCTGGCTAGGTGTCTAAATACTCTTTACCCAAAGATGTGTATGGCTACAGGTGAATTTGAGAAGGTAATAAGTACCATGACGTTAATATCACAAGTGTGTTTTGACAAGGAGCCAAAATATATTATTCAGGTGAACACAGGAAACACAAGTGTTTTGTATCTTCTATTGATTTGTATCAGGTTGGAATTTATATGACAAAGAAGAGATTTTTGAAAAAAAATCCCTATTAGAGATTCTGATAGAATTCACCCCCACATTCACTATGAAAGACTGGTTAGAAGATGCAGAATAAAAATTTATAAACCTGGAAGGTATGATGAGTTTCATATTGTGATTTATTCCAGCATTTTTATGAAAGGGCTTGTAACACAAAGTTTCTTACCAAGAAAAATTGCCACGGAATAAACCTGGGCTGCAATGCTTCCTGTGTCTTCTGAATGAAGAGGAAAGCACACTCCATTGGTGCCATAGTAGTTCTTGAAAATTTCCTTATTGCTTAGTGGAACAAAAGCCACTATAAACCCAGTAATCCAAATGAGAAGTAAAACTGTAATTGTTCTGCATTTTCGAGGTCTTAAACATCTAAAAGGATATACAATGCAGATGTATTTTTCCAATGTCAGGAATGTTAAAAGTAAAACGGATACTTCTGTGGACAGAATGGCCAAAGACCCCATGAGCTGGCAATGAGTACTCTCTGTCCACAGCTGGGCATGCTTATTGTACTCCCCCCGAAACTTGAGGTCAAAGGCTCCAATCACAAACAAGTATATTCCCATTAGGCAGTCGGCACCTGCAAGTTTACAAGTTTAGAGAAATAAATAGGTGTAATGCAATAATATCTATATTTTGGCAGTACTGGGGTTTGAACTCAGGGCTTCACACTTGTTAGGCAGGTACTCTGCTACTTAAATTACTCTGCCAGCTCTGTTTTGTGTTGGGTATTTTCAAGATAGGGTTTCATGAACTACTTGCTGGGGGCCAGCTTTAAACCACAAACCTCCTGACCTCTGCCTCCTGAGTAGGGAGGGTTACAGGCGTGAGCCACTGGCACCCTGCCACAATAATATAGCCCAATTTCTTTTATCTTGGAAAGAGGTAATTTTATTATCCTATGAATTCATGGGATGGTAGAGTGCATGTAAAAACATGGCCCTGGGTTCAATACCCAGTACCAGTCAATCGATCAATCAAACAACCAACCTTCTCCAAAAGAAAACAAAAACACGATTTATGGAACAGAACCTATTCAACCACTCTCTTTGTAACCACTCTCATAGCAACTTCTACAGTTAATTGTGGTCATTTCTCTGTTTTCCTTTCAAGTGCAAGTGTATAAGAGCGGAGATCTTGTCTATTTTGCTGTCCATCCTAGACCTATACCTAGAAGTGAAGAAGAAATGAATAAAATCCAATTATGCTGAAAATTCAGTTAGGGACCTAGAGGGGATGACCATTGGTTCAGTCCTTCCATTGGAATTCTCTCAGCTCAACAGTGAAGAATATGATCCCAAACCCCAGAAAACAAATTCAGAAGTTTCTGTGACAGAGTGATGACTGAATTTGGAAGTCTCTTAAATTATCAGAGCTGGCCTAGATGGAGCTCTTTTCTCTGATTCCCTCTTCCCATTTTTACACTTCCTCTCTCTTTTTTTTAGGCTCTCTTCTCCACAATATTAGCTTAGTGTGTACACTTCCTGGGTTTTTTCTTTTCAAGGAAATGTTAGCTAGTGGAAGGCAGTTGACACTTTTTTGACTGCCCAAACATTTTTCACTATGTCCCTGAAATCACTGCCCCGTATGAGTCATAGGCTGACCTTAATTCTCCAACACTGAAGTTATACTCTAGCCTTCAGTAGGGAAATGGAACTTAACTCAAAATTTTGTAGCTGACAATACAAAGTTGTAACCATTTTCTGAGTTATTTCTTACATAGCTTGCAATGAAAAAAAAAATGAGACATTTAAGAGAAGTGCGCTGAGTAGCCCAGATTACAAGCATTCTGAGGACTGGTTTCTTTTCTTTGCAGTCATTTACCATAATGTACCGCAGTCACATTTCAAAAACTTCAAAAACATTGATACTACCTGGGAACATTTACATTTACATATTTACATGTTTCAAGTTATGAATGAGAAAGATTTGAGTAGCTCAGGGACCAGAAAAACCTAGTTGTTAAGCCTAAATATCTGTGAGTTGACCTGCAAACAGAAAAGTAAACACAGCTCTGGATGTAAAACTATGACATGGAAGGTTACAACTTCATTTGTTGTACAAAGTTTTAGATGTTTTAAGAAAATATGCCTTCAGAGCCATACATGAGAAAATACTAGTGAAGGAGTGCCTCATTAATCTGGATAAGATAAATAGAATTTTCTTATCACTAAGGTAATTCTAGTTTAGTTGTAGAAATTGTGAAAACAATGTATAATAAGCAAAAGAGGAATTAAAAATATCATTCTATCACTCACAGACTTATTTTCTACTGTGGATTTCAAAACTCTAGTTCCTTCTTAACCTGGAAATACTCACAGCAGAGAGAAATGATCGACATAGCATGGAGCTTGTTCTCAGACCTGATATAAGGTCGCATACAGATGACAAAAATGTTTCCAAAGCAAGTAACTGCAGATACGACCCAGACAAACACTCTCTGAATAACGTTTGCCAGGAGGTCCTCGAGAGACGAAATTCCATCTGTGTTTGGCTTACAGCTGCGAACGTGGGGGGCATAGCCACAGTACTGAAACTTCTTAAAATATCTGCCGGACAGAGAAGATCAAAAATCGAAATTGAACTCCGCATCACCATACTCTGATATTTATTTTCAACATTTTTCTTGGTAGAAAGAAAATGTCCTAATATGAGATTCAGAGGAATGTAAAAGATTAGGGATTCTGAAATTTTGATCTCAAATTGAATTCTCCTCTGACTTCCCAGTGAAAGAACGGGTAGGATGCACACACAAGAGGGAAACATTTCTTAGAACACGACTGTTAACTTGCGACCACGAGAATGAATTTCTCCAAAGAAAGTTGCCTGTTCAGCGGTCACTCTGGGAATTTGTCCCGCTCGTTACACACAGCAGGGGATCATGCTTTCTAGGCCCTGGGGGCCTAGATTCTGCACTTTCTCCCCTGTGTTTGGTGACTTTTCTGCTATAGATGTTATGTTATCTGTAACTACTTAACGTGCCTGTCTTTAGATTTTGGAACATACCAGAGGGTTCAGTGAGTATGTGCTGAGTGAATTCTTTCATCAGTAGATCTCCCTTGATAAAGATATCATCTTGCTGGGTGCCTGTGACTCACGCCTGTAATCCTAGCTACTCAGGAGGCAGAGATCGGGAGTTTGGCGGTTCAAAGCCAGCCTGGACAAATAGTTTGTGAGACCCTATCTTGAAAAACCCTTCTCAAAAAAGGGATGGTGGAGTGGCTCAAAGTGTAAGCCTTGAATTCAAATCCCAGTGCCACAAAAAAAAAATATCATTTGGATATGACTACTGTGCACCAGCAACACCAAGACAATTACTGAGCGTTTTCCAGCCACCAGGGATAAATTCTCAGATGAACTCCATGAGTTAGCAACCCTGTAGGCGGAGATGAATCTTCAGCAGAGGCAAATTATCTGCTAGGAAATTTTCTACTTGTAGAAACTGCAATTCAGACTAGATCTATTTGCCTTAGAGACACTAATGTGTTCTGGTGAAAAATATCAGATACAGTAATAAATGATAAAAACTTGGTTACAATTTATCTCGTTAAATTCAAGTTCAGTTGCTGGTGTTTTTTTCCTGTTATAACCATCTTCTCTGAACAGTGACTGGAGAGGAGGGCAGAAAGTGAGAAAGGAGAGTGTTGACTACCACTTCATTCAGTTTTATGCGCATTAGGCTGAAGTTTTCCTTTTCACGGAGTTTTAGTAGAATGTGTCCTCCTGTGTGGCTTTTTAGCAGGCAGTCACCCTTCTAGTAATAGAGTCCTTATTTCCTTTGAGTCCTTTGGTGGAGTTTCAATGGAGGCTCCCCTAGCCCAGAGCTGGCAAGAGCCCTACGCAAGGTCAGGCAGGCTCTGCCTCCTGGAACTCTGACTCACTGAAGACGCCTGGCTGGCGTGTTCCACCAGGGCCCGGGAAAGATGGCTGCTTACCTCTTGTTGCTGTGGTTTTGCTACTTCAAGTCTTTTCCCTCAGTGATTTCTTACATTTTATGGGTGCCCCATTTTCTTCCAACGAAACCATCTTTGCTTAATTTAGACAGATTGTTCTATGTTGTGCGCCCACCAAGGAATCTTACATAAACATTCTCTCTGAGGTTTATGGAAAATGAGACTAGAATTCTGTGTTAGACTTAAAAGATAGATTACAGAAGTGATGGCAGCTGACATGACACATCTAAATTATTGGACATTAAGACATGGGAAGGGAGAGGGCATGTAATGGATGGGGTGAACTTGTTCAAAGCACCCTGTATGCATCTCTGGAAATTTTCCTATGAAATCCTCTTGCACTATTAGTGCATCCTAATAATAATAATAAAGCATCATTTCCTAGTTTCCTGACTAGATTAAAGCAGGGAAAAAAGAAAATTATGATATCCATGGTATGGATATCATTCTAATACCTGTTATAAAATGGCATTCAGTTTGAAACATTTCTAAAGCATGTGATTAAAGGCACAACCAGACACAGTGTTTGAATAGAATTTTCTAGAGGCTGCCTGACATTTCACCCATGTACACTTGTTCCAATCATGTCCTGACACTTGGGGCAATTTTTCCTGGAGAAGAGATCCCCCTTTTTGCCTTCAGCTGTAGTATCTATTTATTTGTAATTACTTTACATTGCTTATATACATCCCTACTTGTTCATCTGGTAACACTTACACTACGCGTACAGTTTGGTAGCTCGTTAGGCAAACATCAGTTCTGTGAATAGCACTAGAGCTGAGAGCTTCTTTCAAGACTGAGTGGGTCCTCCCCATGAAATTCTATCAGACTGTGGAAAACTAAAAGTCATTTACCCAATGGCAAAAGTTTAAGAGTTAATTATTGGTTAGAAATGTCTAAGTCTCTTTGGGCTGTTGTAACAAAAATTCATAGACAGGGTGGCCTGAACAATAAGCATTTATTTCTCATGGTTCTGGAGGCTGGGAATTCCAGGGTTAAGTTACCAGCAGGTTCAGTGTCTGATGAGGTCCTGCTCCCTGGATCATAGATAGCTGTGTTCTCTCTGTGTCCCAACATGGTGGGAGCAGCAAGGAAGGTTTCAGGAATCTCTCTCTCTCTTTTTTTTGTGGTGCTGGGGATCAAACCTAGGGCCTTGCACATGCTAGGTAGGCATTCTACCACTTAGCTACATTCCTGAGCTCCCATCTCTTTTTTTGACAGGGTCTTGCTATATAGCCCAGACTGGCCTCAAACTAGCAGTACTTCTGGCTTCACTTCCCAGAGTGCTGGGATTATAGGCATGATCCAGCACAGCTGGCCTGGCTGGAGTCTCATAAGGACACTAACCCTATTCATGAAGTCTCTACCCTTATGACCTAATCACCTCAAAGGCTCTGCCCCCAATACCATCATCTTGGGGTTATATTTCAACATATGAGTTTTGGGGGGCACAAGTATTCAATACACAGCAGGCTAATTAGTGGAAGATATTCATAGATTGGCTGATTGAGTGGGAGCATGGAGATGAAAACTGGGGTGAAGAGCAATAGTAACATTTACTTACATGTGAGAGAGATTCACGAGAGGTCTAAACGTCCTTTGTTGGATATTTGAAATTTCGATTCCTTCTAGGCTACTGAAAATTCCAAGTTGATAATCAGCCAAAAGAACATAGGTTATACATGGTGTAATAAAACGAGTGTTTAGGAAGGACAATTTGATAAAACGCTTTTTTGCTATGCTTATTCTAAGTGAAACATTCATACTCAGCCCACCATAGGTACTTCCCCAAGTCCTCCTCCTTTTGGTTGTGTTATTTACAGACATCTATTTCCCCTCATTGATTGTTTTGCATCTCATAGATCATGGCACAATGCTTTGCGTGTGCTAACTTCTCAGTAAATACTTGTGGAATGAGTGAGAAGCATTATCTTCTGGAAAGTTTTACAACAGCAGAGGAGTTGTACATCTTTGAAATTTTTCTGGTGATTTTTTTTTTTTTTTTTGGTACTGGGGCTTGAAATCAGGGCCTACACCTTGAGCCACTCCACCAGCCCTTTTTTACGAAGGGTTTTTCGAGACAGGGTCTCGAGAGCTTTTTGTCTGGGCTGGCTTCCATGGAGAGCCTCCTGATCTCTGCCTCCTGAGTAGCTAGGATTACAACTGTGAGCCACCAGCGCCTGGCTTTTTCTAGTAATCTTTAAGAAATAATTTTTCTAATAAAATACAATTTTATAGAGAGAACATCTAGATGAAATGAAGCTTATCCTTTTAAGGCAATTCTTCAATGTTAACAGAATTTTTGTCGCGTGCATGCTTGTGTGTGTGTGTGTCTGTATGTATGTGTGGTATGAGTCATGATTTATATAATCAAGAATAGCTCATCTTGGAATAAGTGTGCTCATTATAAATTCTTAAATGCCCAGAACTAAAGGAGCAATGAAGATGGACAGGTAACTTCAGAAAGCGTAAGCAAACAATTCAATATATGCTCCCAGTGGCTCACAGAAAATTATTAAATGATTTACCAATGTTTAATCTTCAGTTTATTAACATAGAAGATAAAAGTAATAGTTGTCTGTTTATAGTCTACCACTCATCTATGTTTTTGAGGAGCTTAACTAAAATCCTAGAAAATAATGATTATAATTTGAAAGATAGTAATGCATATGTTATTAGTATTGAAATAATAATTTGATCATAAAACCACACCATATGTGTATACTTACAGAGACTTGAGTTTGACAAGATAATCAAATTGATTTGCCTGAATTTTCTGGATTGGGTTATAGGAAATATTCCTGTTTTTTGAAAAAAGACAATAACAATAGGTCATCTCTAAAAATTGAACAAAGAGAGTATATCTAATGACTTTTAGTTATTTTGAAATGTTCAAACCCCCCCCCCACACAGGGCTGATTCTCGTGGTAGAGCACCTGCCTAGCAAGCATAGGCCCTTTGTTCAATAAATAAGTAAATGAATCAGTAAATATATAAATACTCAATATTTAAGTAATAAATAATAAATAAATAAGTAAATAAATATATAAATACTCTCTACTTCATAGACGTGGACAGTAGAATAGTGGTTACCAGAGGCTAGGCGTGGGAGCAGGCAGGGGGAGAGAGGGAATGTTTGTCAAGGTACAACATTTCAGTTAGACAGGAAGAGCAAGTTTAAGAGAGTGACTGTACAACACAATGACGAGAGTCATTAACAGAGTATTCTGAAATTGCTAAAAGGGTAAAATTTAATGTTATCAACACAAAAATGATAAGAATATGAGGTGGTACAAAAATTAACTCCATTTAGTCATTCCATGATGTATGCATATTTTAAAACATACTGTGGTAAGTAAGAACAATTTTTATATGTAATTCAGAACACCAGTAGCTGCACTTGTCTCGTAGGGCTGACTATAATGTAAGTAAACACTGAGAGCAATGCCTGGCTTGTGAGTGTGGTGGCAGAGTGACAGCTATGACAACTTGGCAAGAAGGCAGCACTTCCGAGAATGGGCTCCCATTGAAGAAGAGGCTCTGCCCTGAGACAGCCACACCTGCTTCACATTTTGCATAGGATCAGATACGGCTTAAAGAGAACAAAAAGAATCTCATCTAGTCAAAATCTGAATGAATGGAATCGCATCCTATGCCTTTCATAATAACTTTATGTCAAAGCCAGACAAGTGGTTTGTGAGGCATGAAATGAAAGCCAGCCTTTTCCTTTAGGTAATGACCAGGCAAAAGCTAGGAACAAGGACAAGAGTGGAAGCACAGCTGAGTTTAAAGGGAGAACATTTCAGAATCTTTTGTTTCCTCTCCTTTGGTGTCTTCCTCCTACTGTCAGGAACCTTTGTTAAATCCTTTGAAGCTAGAACCATTGATGAAAAGGAGCTTTGTAGAGGAAGTTCTCATTTTAAGAAATTTACTGAAGATTAGGCCATTCGTTAATGTGGGGAGGGGCATGAAGGGGAATTAGGTGGACCACAATTAGAGACAGAAGGCAAAAGAGGAAGAAGGATGATTAAAAATGTCTTGTATAAAAGAATAGAACAGACTCAACAAACTACCCAGGAGGACCTTCACATATAAAAGCTATATAAAAAGCCATCACTGATATTCTCAACAGTGAAAAACCAAGTTTTTCTTCTAATGTGAAGAACAAGACAGGCATACCACTTCTGTTCCACAGAGAATTAGAAGTCCTAGCTGGCAAATAGGCAAGAAAAAGAGATAAAAGGCATCCAAACTGGAAAAGAAGAAAGACTATTTCTGTTCATGGATGAAGTGATCCTGTATCCTGAAACTGTAACAATTTGACATCAACAAAAATGTTGGAACTACTAATTTCAGCAACATTGCTGAATACAAAATTAATACACAAGAATCTGTTATGTCCAGGCTTGGCATGGTGGCTCATGCTTGTAATTCTAGCTACTTGGGAGGCAGAGATTGGGAGAACTGTGGTTGGAGGGCAGTCTGGGCAAAAAGTTAGTGGACACCCAGCTCAACAAATAATTTGGTTGTGGTGGTGCATGTGTGTGGTCCCAGGTATGTGGGAGATATAGGCAGGCAGATTGTAATCTGGGCTCCACACTAGGCAAAACCACAAGACCCTATTTGAGAAATAACTTAAAACAAAAAGGGCTAGATGCATGGCTCAAGTGGTAGAGCACCTGCCTAGCAAGCACAAGGCTCTGTGCTTGTGTTTTTGGCAGTATTGCCAAAAAACCCAAAAAAGAATTAGTTATGTCTCTATACACAATAGACAATCCCAAAAGGAAATTAGGAAAACAATTCCATTTATAATAGCTTCAAAAGAATGAAATACTTAATAAATTTAATGAAGGAGGTGAAATACATGTATTGATCACTAGAAAATATTGCTGAGAGAAATTAGACATCTGCTGTAGTTGGAACATCTTCTCCAAACTCATTTAGTTGCCATTTTGACAGTATTAAGAGGGAGGACCTTTTAGAGATGACTTGATCACAAGGGCTCTGCCCCTCATCCAACCATTAATGCAATTATTGTGGGAGCGGGCTTCTGATAAAAGAACACATTTGGCCCTCCCCTCCCGCCTCTCTCACACTCTCATGCCTTCCACCAGGTTCTAACACAGCAGCTGGTCTTCAGTAGATGTGGCCCTTCAGTCGTGCATTTCCCAGGCTCTAGGGCTGACAGCAAATAAACTTTTATTGTTTCTAAATTACCCAGTCTGTGGTATTTTGTTACAACAGCAGAAAGTGGATCAAGACAACACCAAGTGAAAGGAAAGATATCCATCCATCCTAAAACTCATATGGAAAACCAAAGGAGCCCAAATAGTGAAACAATCTTGAAAAAAAGAGTAACAAATTTAGTGATCTCACACTTACTAACAGACTGATAGACCAATGGAAAAGAATACAGAACCTAGGAATAAGCTCACAAATATAAATGCAAATGATTTTTGACAAGGGTTCCAAGCCACTTTATAGGGAACAGTCTTGAAACTGTGTTGAGAAAACTGGATATCTACATGCAAAAGAATGGAATTAGACCCTTACCTTACACTATGTACATAATCATATGGTTTGCAAACCCACATGTAAAACTATAAAATTCCTAGAAGGAAACTTGGGGGAAAGCATCATGATGTTGAATTTGGCAATGATGTCTTGGATGTGACATTAAAAGTCCAGGCAACAAAAGACAAAATACAAAAACTGGACTATATCAAAATTAAAACCTTATGCATGAAAGGTCACTGTATCTGAAAAGAGGTTAATATTCAGAACATATAAAGAAAGAACTCCTAAAACTCGGTAACAGCAAGAATGATGCAATTAAAAAGGACAAATAAACAGTAGTCATAGGAATGGCAATAAACACACGGAGAAGATAGCTAACACCCTTAAAGACTAGAGCAAGGCAGATCTCAAGAACCAGCACCTTCACACCCATTAGAAACAAAACAAAATAACAAGTGTGGTGGGGACTGGAGGAACTGGAACCCTCAGGCACTGCTAGTGGAAATGTAAAACAGCAAAACTTCTATGGAAAACAGAATTAAACACTGAATGAGAATAGAATTCTGGCATGATCTGGCAATTCTACTTCTGTTGATATACAGGTGGTGTCTGACTTACAATGGCTCCACTCATGAATTTTTGCTTTTCAATAGTGTAAAACCAACACACCTTTAGTAGAAACTGTACTTTGAGTGCTAAGGATGAAGGTCAATGGTAGTGCACACGACTAACTTGCACGTGGTCCAGCACACAAAAAAAGAAAGGAGGGAAGGAAGAAAGGAAGGAAGGAAAGAAGGACAGAGGGAGAGAAGAAGGGAGGAAGAGAGAAAGAGGGGAGCAAGAGAGAAAGAGGGGAGGAAGGAAGGAAGGAAGAAAAGAAAAGAAACTGCACTTAAAATGTTGATCTTTTCTGGGGCAACCTATAATATGTGGTAGGAGAGAGTAGAAGCTGCAGTTGCAGTCAGCCATGCAATGAAAAGAATAAAACACCAGTACTCTACAGTGTCTTGTGTTGCTAAGCCAAGATGTGTAAGTATATTAAATGCATTTTTGACTTATAATATTTTCAATTTAGGATGGCTTTATTGGGACAAAATGTTATTGGGGAGCTGAGGAACAGAGCATAGCCCAAAGACTTGAATACAGAAATGTGAACAGATATTTATACACCCTTGTTCATCACAGCATTATTCATGATAGCCAAAAGGTGGAAGCTACCAGAGCATCCATTAACCAATGAATGGATAAATACACACAACTTGTGATATATATCTATATCTATATCTGTCTATCTATCTATATATATCTGTCTATGTCTATATCATATTATTCAGCTTTAAGGAAGTTCTGTTACACACTACAACATGAATGGACATTGAAGACATTTGCTAAGGGGAATAAGCCAGTCACAAAATTACAAATATTGTATGATTTCAGTTATATGAGCTACTTAGACAATCCAATTTATAGAGGTAGAAAGCAGAATGGTGGGTGCCAGGGGCTAAGAGGGAGGGGCAAATGAAAAGTTAGTGTTTAGTGATTAGAGAGGTTCAGATTTGCAAGATGAAAAATTCTGGAGGCGGATGGTGGTGATGGTTGCACAACAATGTGGGTGTAATTAATTCCATCCAACCGTACACTTACAGATGGCCAATTTCATGTTATGTATATTTACCACAGTTAAAACACTAATAACCTGGGGCGGGGAGGTGGCCCAAACAATGTATACACATGTGAGTAAATGTAAAAATAATAAAATAAAATAAAAAAAAAAAAAGAAAAATTCCCCTCATAGTATGATGGAAGGGTAAATCTAACCAAGGCACATTGTAAGCACATTCATAAAACACACAGTGAACCCCCCTGTACAACTAGTGTATGCTAATAAAAATGTGAAAAAATAGTAATAACAAAATAAAGTGATGAAATTAATATCAGCCTTACAATTGTGACAGCTCCCTCAGATCCTTAAATAGATGTGGTGGAAGATTTTCAATCTTATTACTTCCTAAATCCCTAGGGAAATAATCACAAACAAGTCATATTATTTTCCAAAGACTTAATTCATTGTTCTTTTTTCCCCATTTCATTACTTTAATCATTTTGTCAGAATAGTCTGAGTATGTCTACACAAAGGTATCATTCATTGTTGTTAAGCTCATTAAGAAATCATTATAAAACTCTTCAATAATGCCATTAGTGATTGTATTAATTACCAAGAAAAAAATGTTTCAATCTTCAATTAAATTATTTTAATTAATATTGAATATTAAGTGATAAACATTAAATATTAGATATAATAACATTGAATATTAAAATATTGAAGATTAAATACTTGATAGTATTGAATCTAGTTTTATTAGATATGATTTTAAACTGGTATGTATATTGTTTCCCTTCTTCCTTTCTCTTCTTTCTTCCTCTCCTTTTGTATTAAGGTAAGAATATGGTTTGGGGACTTAATTTTTTTCTTTTGCTTAGGTTTATAACAATTATCAAACAAAGTGTGTTGTTTCAAGTGCACATTTCTTCTACAGCTGAAGTGCACAGGCTCTCACATACTTTGGGTGGCATTGCACAGATGTGTAGAGAGTCTGCTGGACAGGATATGTGTGACCTTGTAGCTTAGTTGTAAGAGGGTTTTTACAGCAGCAACTCTCCTGGTAGTTTTGACACTGGCTGGTCTCATGAGAAAGGCTTCAGATTCTTCTAAACAAGAAAACATTTCAACAAGCTTGAGGCCTCTGAGGTGATCAGGAGATATAAGCGAGAGCCTGGCCATTTTCCCCATGTACCTCCAAATCCCACTTCGTTGCCACTGGGATAGGTAGAAGAACCTATGCCAGTTAGTTCCTAAATCAAAAGATAGATATGCTGCACAAGTTAGGATGCTTGAGAGATGATTGTAATGTAATCTGACAAATATCAATGTCTTTGCTGTGATAGCTTTGTTACTTCATATTGTAAAGAGAGTCTTGAGGTCTTTGGTATTTATATATTTACAGGCAAACTGTCTATGAATATAGGTTGTTCTGATTTGACAATCATAGGGATCTTTGCAAACTTGCCTTCCTTTCATAAAATCTTTCAATAGCTTACTGTTGCCTAGAGGACGAAATGAAAATGCTTAGTGTGACATTAAATGCCTTTAAATATCTAAAATATCTTGCCACTGACTCTCTTTCCAATCTTGTTCCCTACTGCTGCCTCATTACAGTCACTCTCCTCATGCCTGCATATACTCAGAGCTCTAATGTCAGTGCTTTTGCTGGGGCCTTTCTCCCATCTGTCATGGGCCTTCCCTGCTGTCCTGATTTCTTTCACATTCTTCAAGACTCTACTCAAACGTGCTCCTCTGGGAAGCCTCTGACATCCAGCAAGGTAGGTTCTCTCCTCTGTTCTCCCATCCACTGTCCTTGCACACTTCTGTTGTAGCACATAACACATACTGGACATACAACGTCATAACTGTGTCTGTGCACCTGTTCTTCCTCTCTGAAAGATGCCAGCTCTTTGAGTGGATGAGCTATGGTTGCTCATCTTGGGCTACACCATGCCTCGCTCACTTTGGGACTGGCTGTTCCTTCCATCCCCAGTTAGAGGACTATTCATAGGCTGAATTTATCTGCTTCGCAGTTAGGGAAAGGTGGGACATGATTCTGGTTGCTTGAATGGGAAGTCAAGTAAAACACTGATCACATTAAAAACATGATGTGCAAAACCAAAACCAGGACACCAACACTCCACATGTCATGACCAAAAGTTCTGGTGGAAGGGTGTATAGTTCTTACAGCAGATTTATGTAAGAGGATTATGTAAGGCTACTTGGCTTGGATCCTGAGTGACCTGTGAAAGGCCCATTTTCTCAGCTTCTATTTAGGATAGCTGGGCTAAAGTGAGTTGGACGCAAGGCCCATTTCATCACCTAGAGTAGTTGACATTGCAACAAATATTTTGCAGTGCTGGGATTGAATCTATGGTCTTGTGCACATTAGGCTTGCACTTTACCACTGAACTATACCCCAGACTTTGACTAGTTGACTTTAAAAACACAGGTAGCCAGGCATGGTGGCACAAAATTGTATCGCAGCACTGGGAGGTAGAGGCAGGAAGATCATGAGGTTGAGACCAGCCTGGCTACATAACAAAACCCTGTCTTAAAAAAAAGTCAAGGGAAAAAGATAAAAAATAAAGTCAAGGACTGGAGGCTCAGGTAGTAGGGCACTTGCTTTGCAAGCATGAAGCCCTGAGTTCAAACTGCAGTCCCTCCCTGACTAAAAAAAGTCACATAAAAGCAAGCACATGACAAAGGTTTTCCATCACAAGAGCTATGTAACAAGTGACAAGTGGATCCTGATTGCTGCCCGTGTGTTTGTCCTCTTTGGCTATATTGGTGTGAATGAGCCTGGAGGGGTCCAGAGTGGAGTTCAACCTCTTACAAAGTGATCTAGACATATTCACTGAAAACTGTCACCTCTTGGAGAACATGCCAATTTTGTCATTGTAAATCTGATTTTTCAGGCAAGTGTTTAATATGGGAATAGGCTGACTTTGGGCAGGACTCGGTTATCCTCTCTGCAGCTTTTGTTCTTTTCTTTACCTCTGAGGCTGGACCAGCACTGCTGATGGGGTAGGCTGTTTGTCTTCTATGTTCGCTGCCGGCTCCTGACACAAAATCTGCACCTGGGTGCCACAGTGAAGTTCACCATCTGGAGGAACTGTCCTCTAGTATTTAGGCAGTGATTTCAAGTTGGATAGAGCAAAGAAAATGTGAATCCCTTGACTAACTTGTATTTTGATGGCTAGGGTCCTGGTTCTAATTACCTATTGATATTTTTCTTGTACATTTGTGAATGATTGGTAGTATTTGCCAAAAAATGTTTCAAGCTAACTGTTACAGAAAAAAATGTTGGGTTTTCAATGGCTTGTTGACTGATGTTTCTGAAAACAGTGTTCCTGTTCGTGGTTATGTATAACCTCCACCTGTCTGTATGCTCAGGTAAGGTGTCCACAAACCACGTTCCTACCCTTTCAGCTGTCTTCTTTATTTTTTATGGAAAAGTTTTAATAAGCCAGTGTTTAGCCCAGATAATTGTTTTTTTTCAACTATTTACTTTATATTTTTATCTTATGTTTATTTTTATAAGGTATCTGAATTCATTTGTGACCCTGGGCACACATAAATAAAGCTGGGAAAAATGACGTTGATATTTCTTAAATATATAAACACACCTGTGTAACAGATAAGAAATAAAACAATAGAAAGAAAATTTTAGTAATGTTTACTCAAACTTACAATTCATCTAGTTTCTGGAGATGTGCAAAAGTATTTTCATTTAGATGACTAATTTTGTTTTTCCTCATTACCCTGAAAGTAAAAAGGAAAGTCTGTTACATCTTAAGGCAACTACTGCGTGAATTACTAAAGAGATTAACAGCCTGCAAGACAAAGACAATTAATACAGAATTCATCTCAGATCAAGATATTTTAAAGAGCAGGGCACGGTGGCTCATGGCTGTAATCCTAGCTACTCAGGAGGCAGAGATCAGGAGAACTGTGGTTCAAAACCAGCCCCAGGAAAATAGTTTGCAAGACCCTATCTCAAAAAAAATCCATCACTAAAAAGGGCTGGTGGAGAGGCTCAAGTGGTAGAGTGCCTGCCTAGCAAGTAAGTGTGAGGCCTTGAGCTCAAAACCCCAGTGATGCTGGTCCCCAACCACCGCCCCCCCTTGAAAAAGGTATTTTGAAGAGTATGATCGACTATCCAATTCAATTATTTCTTTTGAGACAGGGTCTTACTGTGTAGTCCAGACTGGTCTTAAATTCATGATCCTCCTGCCTCTGCTTCCAGTGCTGGAATTTCAGGTGTATGCCACTATACCTGGCAAAAATTCAATTTTAATTTTCAATTTCTCAAAAAAATTTTAATGAGATTAATAATAAAATATAATTGAAAATTTTCATTAGAAATAGGGAGGCGCTTTGCCAGGGAAATAGGAACACCTCAACTCTTTGGAACAGAGACAGAATATCTTACAACCAGGAGCACGGGGAGCTATTTTAGACGTCTCTTCAGGCTGCGGAGGTGTCTGTTGGACGTAATGCTCCACGTGCCACAGCGCTCTAACTCATTTGGTAGCTGATGTGTTTGGGGGAATTACCTAAGGGAGACTGAGCTAGGCTAGACCAATTCAGAAAAGTCTTTATTTTGGGGATACTGAGTCAGACTGTAGCTTGTGACAGCTCCTTCCCAATCCCCATGCGTGGTGAAGCTTGAACCCAGGGACTCGCCCATGCTAGGCACATGCTCTACCACTGAGCCACACTTCAGCCCCTCAACAGAGCATTTCTGCACTGATCTAATAAGTTCCCAGCTGGCGTAAAGGATTAACTCTGGGAACGTGCAAAGGGTTTCCAATTCTTTAAGCATTGTGTGACATGCCTTCAAGTTGACTTTGTCCCATCCTTAGCTATATAATTTCTCCCTGCTCTCCAAACCACGACTGCATTCCCCCGGTAACTCTGCCAAGCACAAAAACCTGCCAAGAGGAATCCACAGGTGATTTCTTCAACCAGAAGTTTCTTTCCTTTGGGCAGTTAGGAAGAGCTGTTTTATGAGTGGTATAAAACACGTTGCCTCTGAAGACTGAGGAATTCACTTACTGGAAGAATCCAGACTTTCTGGTGGTATACCCTCAGGGATGTGAGCATTCTGAAGTCTTTTCTTTTTTTCATTTGACTGCACTTAAACTTTTATTCACAATTATAAAGAAAAACAATCTTTGTAGTATCATTTGCAAAGACCAACATGTCAACTTTGTAGTAATATTTTCAAAGACCAAAATGTCAACTTGGTCTTCCTCAAACCCAGTCTTGGTGTTCTGTGAGAATTTCCATTAACATGGCTCTGTGAGGTACTAAGTTTGAGAAAAACAGGTCCCAAATAACAGTGTCATTGTGGTGATTTATGTCTGTTTAAATCTGTGATGATCCTTGGTTTGAACTTCATATTCTTCTGTTTCAACAAACTTGGAGTGTGAACATTCACCATAATGGGTGTGTGTGTTAGGGCCCAGAAAATGATACCCCAAAATATGGCACTTTGATGTTTGAGTACTTCAGACTGAAGGACATTGAAAGGATCTCAGAAGCAAGCTCTTTCTGCCTTCTTTTTCCTGTTCCTTTTAGCCCCTAAAGGAAGCTGTAGAAATTAGAACCCTTTTCCCCAAAGCCTGCTACAAACCTAGAAATATTACTCTAGCCTTCCTCTGCCTTTTTTGTGTATGAGGTAATCATAAAGAAATTCTCTGACCTTCTTTGACACTGTATCATGAGAAACTCACTGCAGGAAAGATCCTCCCCAAACCAGAGAAGAAGGAATGCCACACAAAGGACAGAGCATCTGGACATAGCCTCACTGGGCTTCTCCTCTCCTTCTATTGCCATCACATCATACCCTTTTTAAGTCCAATCGTATTTCTACATGGTTGTCCATTTTTCAGTGGAACCTAGGCATAAAAATGGACTTTTCCTCTGGGACTTTGGTCTTCATTTCTGAAGGTTCCTTTGCCGCATAAAATTTTGAGTGAATAAAATTATGGCCACGACTCTTATGTTGGGTGAGGAAATAGATCATAGCTTTCTGCTCCTACACATGTTTAGGCTGGCTTCTGTCCACATAAAGGATTCATTTGGTTTCTAAGGAGATACAGTATTACTTCAAATGCATAAAATATTACTTACAAAACAGTTAAATTACTGCAGGAAATAAAAGTCAAATTTCTTAAACTATGGATATGGTTGCCTTCAAAGTCCCTGGAACATAAAAATAAAACATGATCAAGCTAAATTTTAATCATATACAGAAGTAAGTTGGCTAAGAATTATTTTCGATACAGTAAAATATCTTTTTTTCACATTCGGTGTACTTCAGTGTGACAGCTGGGGACACACACACACACACACACACACACACACACACACACAGGGCATATTGAACCAGACTATAGCTCTTACTAGGTTTTTTTCGGTGGTGGTGAGTATTGAACCCAGGGCTTCATGCATGCTGGGCACACACTCTACCAATGAGTTACGCTCCAGCCCTTGTCAGTTTTTTTCTGCGATCTCATGTTATCAGCATAAAGGACTAACTCAGGAAACTCTCAAAGGTTTTCCAATTCTTTAAACATTGTGTGACCTGCTTTTAAGTTGACCTTGTTTCTTTATATAGCTATCTCTCTATAAAATACTGCTACTTTTTTTTTATGGCACTGGGATTTGAACTCAGGGCCTCACGCTAGGCAGGCACTCTTACTGCTTGAGTCACTCTGCCAGTCCCCCATCCCCCCCCTTTTTTTTTTACTGTTACCTTTTCCCTTGTATTCATAGTAAACGTGATTCGAGTCCCTGGATTTAATTCCCAGCACCAAAAAATTGCTTCGAGTCACATCTTTATTATGTATGCACAGAGATATGTTTATTATTCCAAGAAATCAAAGAGAATGAGAAGTCAAAGTGAAAACCTTTGTTACAGTACGTACTTAATTGATTAACAGATATTTAGCAGCAAGCCATATCAAACATCTGTCCAGGATTACAATGACATTTCCCTACGTGGTATGCTCTCATTTTTCTCCTGGCTATATAAGATAATTATTGCTGTGGAAGCTAACACTGCCAAGATAAAGTTTAACTCCTGCCTCCCTAGCCTGAACACACCCCAGAAATGTCCTCGCTAGCCTGTTACCCCAGGGAACGCCTTGTTTGCCTTTTTATGTCATCACAAAGGCCAGTGCAGAGGGAGAGCACCAGGCTGACCTTGGCTTTCAACTCTCAATTCAGGGAGCTACCCACAGATCCTCCTTGAGTTCTTTTGCTGCATGATGCTATGTCATAGGAGTCTGGTCTGAGCACCGAAATTTATCAAAAAAAATATTATCAAGAGGGGTTTCGTTTCTTCTCTTTTGTGGTGCTGGGAATCAAACCCAAGGCCTCACATATGCTAGGCAAATGCTCCACCACTCAGCTACATCCCAGTCCAAAGCCATTCTTTCATTTCCTCTCTTCTTCCATCTGTAAGTAGGATTCTAGAAGTTTGTAGAACACAGAGAGTTAGTTACACTGTACTTCCAAAAGGAAATGCTGGCCTTAAATCTAAGTGCATCCTGACACTGTTTATTGGTTGCCATACAGCAGAAAGCTATTCAGGAAAATTGTAACTCAATATAGGAGCAGGAGTGTGGTACAGCTGCTACAATCTGTGAGAAAAACAGGCATTAATAGAAATGCCTGTGTGCTTCGGGCTAGGCTACAGGTGGGGCAGTCGGTTTTGTTTTGGGCATTGCATTAAAAATAGACATGGATAAAGCAAAATATATCTGGAAGATTTGGGTGGCCAGGGTTAAGGAATCTAGGAATAGAGAAAATTGAAGGAAAGGGTGTATTTATAATGGTTATTTACAACTGTGATGAGCAGTGCATATGAAGTCAGGTTGTAAGGTAGACTGGAGTCTTTGTTGCATTAGAATGCAAAATGTGATTTACACAACCCACTGAAAGACAAACCATTTCAAATTGAAGTCCTACCTCTCTAGCAAATCAGCCTCCTATGCTACAGGCATTTAGCAGACGTTGTGTACCATATCTCGATAACTGTGCATAGATTCCACACCACCCTTCTAAAGACAGAACTCTGTTATTCTACTAGAATGGGAGGTGAAGCGCTGAAAGTACTACTTCTTTGGTGTTCAGTTTGGCCCAGGCTTTTGGCCTCTCACAATGTCCATTGTCAACTCCTACTCAGCTATTTCCTTCTATTTTATTACTGTTACCACAAATCTACCACCAGGTGGCGAAACTCTCTCAAGTATCACAAAATAAGAGCTTTGCTATTTGCAACTTTGTATGCTGTTAAACTGGTAAAATATTTATTAGTACTAATTTATAAAAATAAGAGGTATATACCAAGATGAAATTAGGTTAAATTGTTAGTTTACTTTGAATTGTAAATTCGCTTTGACTTTCTTCCTAAAGCTAGTGTATATTCTTGACACACAGGTTTGCACAAGGCATATTAACCAAGGCACGGCAACAGCAACCACACAAAAACAAAACAGCAAAGACAAATCTGCTTCCTCCTCCCAAGATCCAGGCTGTAAGGCATGAAGGGTGTTTTTCTTACTGTGTCTCTAGACCACCACTTTTCCCACTAAACGAGCCTCTGAAACTAATCATTTGTTTTCCCTTTCTACATGGCAGAACAGTATGAAATGAAAATTTCATTCTCTCATTTGGAAAGCAACAATAACAAAACCAAACCCACAAATAATCTTGTTTGTTTCCCCTCAACCTTCCTATCTTATCCCCTAATGGTATTTTGAAACCTGCAAATCTTCTTTTTTTTTTTCTTGTGGGACTGGGTTTGAACTCAGGGCTTCTACTAGTTGAGTCACACCTCCAGTCCATTTTGCTCTGGTTATTTTGGAGAAGGAGGTCTCACAAACTATTTGTCTGGGCTGGCCTTGCACCATGATCTTCCAGCTCTCAGCCTCCTAAGTATCTAGGATTACGGGCGTGAGCCACCAGTGCCTGGCTAAAACCTGCAAATCTTCTTATCCTCTGTTTTCTGTCTGTTTTTTTAAACATTTCTGGAGAAAACTGAGATGATTAAGGAGGGAAAGCTGTTGACTTGCTGCTCATCTAAAGCTTACCTGCACAGGACCATTTTCTTCTTCTAGCTTCTGAGGAAGACACAGTCCTCTTGCTCTAGGCCAATCCTGCCATTTGTATTCAGGACTCCAGTTTGTATGTGTTTATGTCTTAAAATATGTGCTTATTTTGGGTGAGGGTTCTTTGAGCATTCTTTGCTTTCAAGTTTACATCTATTAGGATTAGGGGCAGGTATATACAACAGAGACAAACCACAGCGGTATATACACACAGGGTTTTGTTTTGCTTTTCAAGGAAGAAAAAAGGTAGAGTGAGGCACAGTTTTACAAAGTTGTTAGAAACCCAAGGTCCTTTGTAGTTGTATTTGCATGTCTTTGTCTCTGTGGTCTGTGCTAAATCTGGAGCTTTCAACTAATTTTTTCTAATAAAGAAGAAAAAAAAGAATCTGCCTTCTCTTTAAGGACAATTTCCAGAAATTCCATATTCACTTCTACCTCTTTAGACACATGGCCATATGTAGATTCAGGGAAGTCTGTGGCATTTTACTGGACACATTGCTATTCCAAGTAAAAAAGCGTTGGTGTTGGAAAGAAGCATTGCAGTTGGATACACATCAGTGGCAGTGAACTTATTATGTTGCTCAGTTTCCATGTCTTTTTTTTGGGTGTTCTTGACCTTTCATGGGTTCAAGCGGGGATTGTTTCCTCTTGTTGCTATGTATGTCTACTGTTCTCTTGGCTGCTGTGTGGCTGTCTTTGGTGTATATGCTCATAATGCAATATCTCTTATTGGAAATGGCAGTCATAGCATTGAAGTTCTGCTGTAATTTGGATTTTAATTGTCCCCAAGGGCCCTGTTGTTGAAGACTTTGTCCCTAGAGAGGTGCTACTGGTACATGGTAGAGCTTCAGGCATTGGGGCCTAGTTGTTTAGGTCATGGGGGTTTGACCTTGAAGGGGATTGTGGGACCTGGTCCCTTCCTCTTCTTCTCCTTTGCTTCCTAGCTTGTGGTGTGAGTGGTTTTGCTCAGCTGCATGCTCCCACCATGATGGGCTGCCTCACCACAGGGGCCAATGGTTCACAGATTGAAACCTCTAAAACTGCAAATCAAAATAAACCTTTTCTCTTTATAAGTTAATTATCTCAGGTGTTTTGTTACTGTGACAGAAAGTTAACTAACACAGATTTTTTTCTTGTGTTGTTTAATGCATGTTGGTCAGAATTCTACCTACTTTTGTTTGCAGTTACCCAGCAAATTTTTTAAAAAATTGTGCCTATTTAAGGTGTATGACATGATGTTTTGATTTACAAATTGTGGAATGATTAAATCCATCTAGCTAACATCTCCATTACCTCACATATGTCACTTTTTTTTTTTTTTGGTGAGAACATTTAAAATCTATTCTGGTAGCAAATTTCAAGTATACACCACATGGTTAGCAACTGTGAACCACAGAGCTCCTCAACATATCCCTCCTAACAAAGTTTTGAATTCTTTGACCAACACCGCCCCAGTTTTCCCCAGTCACACCCCAATTCCTGGCAACCATCATTCTACTCTTTGCTTTTGTGAGTATGGCTATTAGATTCCATGTATAAATGAGGCCTTTGGTATTTGTTTTCTTGTGTCTAGTTTGTTTCACTTGGGACAGTATCCTCTAGGTTCACCCACATTGCTGCAAATAACTGGATTTTCTCTTTCTTCTTCTTCTTATTTTTCTTAACAACAAATACTATTTCATTGTACATATGTACCACATTTTTTCCTATTTTTTTTTTGAGATAGGGTTTCATTATGTAGCCTGAACTGGCCTTGGTGCATGCTGTTGCGCTCAGCATATGCCACATTTTCTTTATCCATTCATTTCTCAGTGATGGATATTTAGGTAATTTATATTTCTTGACTATTGTGAATAGTGCTGTAATGAACTTGGGGAGACAGATATCTCTTTGAAATTCTGATTTCATTTCCTTTGGATATACACACACAAGTGGAATTGCTGGTCATGTGCCAGTTCATGCCATGTTCTATAACAGCTGCACCAATTTACGTCCCACTAATAGTGTACAAGGTTTCCCTTTTCTCTGCATCCTTGCCAACACTTGTTATCTGTCTTTTTGATAAAAGTCATCCTAAGAGGTGTAAGG